TCAATACCTCTGTATCGAATGCTAAACTGCGCAGATCTGAATACCTATATTAAATGCCTCATGGCTCATGTATATCACCAGAAAGAAATAAAGCCATTCTTACCTGATTATTCTTTGATATTGTCGAATGTCAATCGTTTGCAAATTATCCATTAATCCAACATATAAACCCGTATGGTCTCGTAACACTGCCTGCACAAATCAGCACAATACAAAATAAAGTTTGACCGCCCCCTCGTTTAAAAAACTTCCTGAAGCTTAATAATTCCTCCCGGAAATCATCTTTACAGACAGACACAAATTGAGATCTCGACAATACATAGATCGCGCGAAAGACTGGATCGAGTGGACTCTGGAGAAACCACCGCGTGTCAAGAATAGGGTGCTGCCTCGGCAGCAACTAATGTTCAATTAAAAAGTGTAATAAAATGTTGAATTGTTAATTTAATATAATATTATGCAACATACATAATGGTCTCATTTGCACATGTTATTATGTAACCAATCAGATTCTTATGCATCTGCAAATTTACATGACTGAATATATGTTCGTTTAATACGTGCTTTGGTGCATGTTAACCAATAGGCCAACGTAACGTTGACTTGGGTAAACGTAACGATGACATTAAGCAAACGTAACGCTGCATGAGTAGACGTGAACGTGACGTTGACTGCTAGCAAACAACGTAAACAAAATTCGGCGAGCGGCGCGTTTGATTGCAAATGGCAACATATTTCTCATTTAATCCAGAGTAAACATCTGGCTACAATCCAGTTGGTACACCTTGCATATATAATGTTATGGTTGAAATCCTTTTCTCTAGCCGCCATGTCCCCCTGGCTACAATCCAGTTGGTGCCAACTGAAGAGTTAGGTACACCAAGACACCTGGAGAGTTAGGTACACCAAGACACCCTGGTCTATAGTCAAATGAAGTGATTGGTGAATGCTCTCGATGCACTGCTATAGTGGCATCGTTTGCATGTAAAAATGCAGATCAACCTGCTAGTAGATAATGGACTACGAAGTACAGTTTTTGCATGTGTTATAGATGCGTAAGTACTCATTTCACGGTGAGGTCACAGGTCTCTAAATTATGTCAGTTAATGAATGGCAATTCGGGCAGATACTAGGAAAATAAAGAAAATTCGGGCAGATTTATGCCATTACAATCCTCCATAAAAATTATGATAAAATTTCAATTGCTCCTACCGCAGAAAAGGTCAGAAAACGTCAGCCCCTCATGCATGCAATGCATATCACTGCTTTCCTTCTCAAGGTATAGCTGTAAAATTCCCTGTTTAGTTTAACGACAATTCCCCAGGCCCTATATCCTCTTTACAAAACAATTTTACCTGCTGGGGTGGTGGAACAGGGATGAAAGTGGTGCAAACGAAGCCCTCAGAAAGAATGATTAGAGTAGGATAACTTAATATTCTTCCCTGTCTCAAATGCAAACAAATTATATATTGAATACCCATGATTTCCCGTAACATGGTTTGAAACATGTGCTAATAAATATTTTATATTCATCTTATTATAGACTAGTAAATTGAAAATACTGTGAAATAGAAACTACGAAATAATGTTCAATTGTGCTGCTTCAGGTTGGTCCGTTGGTGTTTCTAAATATTCTATATGCGGCCTTTACTGTCAATCTATGCGTCCAGCTAGCAGCTCGGTAAATCCTTTAATTAACTAAGTCAACTTGTTTCGTTCTTCGCTGATCTAAAGGAAAGCAAAAACAATAGTTGAGAAACCGAAACAGAAGCGTACGAATTGGAATTGTGAAATTGACACTGGAAATTCATACTATGGAATTTGCTATTGCATCAATAAATCCAGTATCGAATCGCGTCTGGTGTATGTGACACAATATATACCTGACAGTGCATGCATGGGCGTGCAGACATTATATACCGAGTACATGCACCTACGTACGCATATACTGCAGGCTATATATATATATATATATATATATATATATATATATATATATATATATATATATATATATATATATATATATATATATATATATATATATATATATATATATATATATATATATAAAATTTTTGCCCTGATATTTTCTTTCAACGAGTGTTCAGTAACAAACAACACAAGCTATTATTTGTGATAATACTTATTAAATACGAAACATAATTACTTAGCAACATTTAAATCCTTTGTTTTCTCGTTTGCTTGTTTACATTTTTTTGTTGCCATCTTGTACGCGATTTTCTGATTTTTTTAGAGAAAGCGCGCTCGCGCCAATCCTAGTGTGCATCACACGTGGCACGGTAATTTATTAGCGCGTTTCCACTCCCATGTTTAACATAGCGCCCTGCAATAATGGACTGTGTTCCGTGACAGTGCCTTGCTCTTTCTGTGTGCCCCCACTTCATCTCTGCTTTTTAGCCAAAGATATGAGCAAAACTATAGAGCTTTTAAAATACAAACTGTATCAGAAAGCAGGAAGGAATAGATCAAAGGAACACAATATTATTTATAGTTTTTTACACGTGTAAAAACTGAGTATAAAAATTAACCGGCTTGGTATGGTCTAATTTGTTTTGTTAGGGACCGGCATTATTTATGCAAGGGGGGGGGGCAAAAATAAGGGGGGGGGATTTTTAATATTTTGATACAAATTGCCTCTTGGACATTTTGAAAATTAGTGATGAAAATCAAGGAGTTTATTTCATGTGGCACGATGACAAAATTATGAGTGATCAAAGTTGAAACAAATACAAATATATCTTATGTATATATAGTTCATGAGAAACTAAGATAAAATGACGTGAAAGGGACGAAACGGCAAGGGGACGAAACGACCTGGGACGAAACGGTAAAGGGACGAAACAACCATAAAACCTTATATGTTTCACTTATATATAGCTATTAAGTTAAAGCATTAAGGCAACAATATCTACCAACCTCCATCTCTCAAAACTTGAGTTTTACGATTTTAGCAAAATTTTGCTCACCAAAAGTAAAAAACCACACGGCAAGTTAAGACCAGTTAACTCTGCAAAACGGTGGGAAAAATGTAGCGCCTAGGCAAATTTTTTTTCCGTCACAGTCCTTGCTAGCTTCTTTTAGCAAGTCTTAATTTTCGTTTTTTTCCATGCACGTCTTCTTGCTGGTTTCTGCCTGGTTCTTTCTTTAATATTTTAGTTATAATTTTCTCAAAAGAAATCGTATAACAGACTCAAAAAACTTTGCAAAATAAATATTACAAATAGTGTCTGTTATTATGCTGTCGTGATGCAGTCATCATCAAGCGAAATTTAAATTTGACCAATCAGTATTCGCCATTTCTATGACAGTCCGCCGTATTTTTTAGATCAGTGGGGAGGAAGCCAGTATTATGGCAAGTTTGAAGTAAATTTTTGTATATATAGGCCAAATGAGTTTTCATATTCGTCGGAGCAAGGGAGCACGCCAGAAATATTTGTGTAAATTTATACTAACCTTTTAATTACATGTAAATGTTTTCAATTTTCATCGGCCGCCATTTTGAATGTTGAAAGCGGTATTAGCTCATCGCAGGCGCAATAATTTATGTTCATCTTTGACATTAATTTATGTTACACGATGATACTCCGAAGGGCGACCGAGAAAGCTCCGAAATTTAAAATAAGGCGGAGAAATAATAAAAAATAAAGAGGGGAGTGAAACGGCCAAACTATTATCCACTGATGCTGGTTGACTGTTACTAGGAACATTTGATGTTGCTAGGAACAAACCGGAAACAAAATGAGACCTACTATTACGGGAACCACTGAGTATTTTAATATAATATACTGTAGAACAACAAATGTAATATAATATACTGTAGAAAATAAATTTTTTTTTATTATTTTCGGATTTACCGTTGATTTATATTTGATCTACTATAATTAGTTCAAGCGAGTCACATTAGAATATATTATTAAAATTGGGGACAATGGCGAGAGTTTGTATATCAGATAAACATCGGCTGCTCGTATTTTAACGTGCTTAAAAGACGACCCATCATATGAGTTCATTGGCGAAGTAATTTTAAAATAAACATTGTCTAAGCCGAGAAAATCGAAGCTGCCAAGTTTATGTAAATGAGAACAATTTACAAATCTATTATCCGACGATTTACATACATTGATTTAACATTCATTTCTTTTGAATTTCCTTCATGAATTATGTCGGAGCGAAAACGAACAGTTGACAAACTAACGCCATTTTGGCGACATAAAGTACATTAATTAGACGGAAAAAAAGGCGGAAAACACATGGCCGCGTTGAAGTTGTTATTTATCGTTTTTATTAAATATTTGTTTTAAAAAACTATGAAATGAGTGAATGTTTAGTGAACCAGCACGTAAATGTAGGTCTCGACTACATTTTTGGTCCTTCGACAGTCGGATTGTAGAATTTCAAGGGAAATTCGAGTAAATATCGAGGGGTAAAAATACGTAAATATATTGGTTTTATATATTGTCCTATTGGACTTGTTGCATCATCGGCAAACAAGAAAATTTGGATTTCCATCGGAATTAAAGGAAATTCGACAATCGTAAGTACATTTTGGATTGTATTTTGGTTGTATATTGTGAACATTATCGTGGGGAAAAATGAGTGATACAGAAACAACTGAGAACGAGGCTCAAGAGACGGTGGTAATAGTTATATCGGATTTTAAGAAGCAGAAGCGAAATGCAAAATCGTTGTTGACACGTTTGTTAACACAGTTATCCTGTTTGTTGTCAGAGGAAAACCCTAATCGAGAGAATATATGCCATTTATTGGTTAAAATCGATGAACAGAAAGACATTTGTTTGGAGGTATTAGATAAGCTTGAGGAAGCATACCAGAAAAGTGGGGATAAACAAAACGCATTAAGAATAGGTGATGAATCGGACAAAATAGCTGAGCAAGTGGATGTTGAAACACATGCCTGACGTCAATTTTTGTTATCGTTAGTCAAGAAATCTGTGCATTTAAAAAACAATGTTGCTATGGCAACTGAATCTCAACCGACCAATACACAACAGCTGGCCCAGGAAATTATTACTACAGAAAATATGGAAACACCCCTGTTGGAAAATGATGGAGTACAAACTGAATCGAATAGCAGTTTGCCGGAAGAGACACCTCAAGTAAACAGTAACAGTGCACATGAACAATTATCAAGTGGAAACAACACTACATTTGTTGACAATGGAATTGGAACACAGGCGTCTGAGTCGTCCAGCAGCCAATCGGAATTAAACACGACTTCACAAAGTGGAAGTACTCGCAGAGTAGATGGACATTTGGAGCGAATTCGAATTCCTATTTTTACAGGAGACAAAATGAAGTTTCAACAATGGAATGCCGCTTTTACTAGCTGTGTAGATAAAACGTCATTGAGTCCACAGTTCAAAATGCTTAGACTAGAATCATGTTTACGAAGAGAAGCAGCCGATACAGTTAGGGGACTTGGATACTCGCAAGAAGCTTACAATGCTGCAAGGGCGAGATTGGAGAGAAAGTATGGTGGTAGTCGGAGACAGGTTCAGAGTCATTTAGAAGAATTAAAAAAGTTGAAACCATTACAAGAGGAAAATGCCAGAGAATTGGAAATCTTTGCGGATGTTTTAGAGCGGGCTGTCATTTGCCTGAAAGAGAATGGTAGACAAGCGGATCTGGAAGCCGGAACTTTATACACCATTGTTCTTGAGAAGATCCCGGAGAAATTACTCTCCCAATACTACAGATGGTTAAGAGAGAAACAAAAGGAAGAATCCATGGAGACATTAAAGGATTGGATTTCCCAAGAAGCCGAGTACCAAATTCAGGCCTCAGAGATTAAGCATGGGTTTCGGAAGATACGAGCAGAAAGAGTCGATGGAAGCGGAGGTGGTTCCGGTCGAGGCGGACGGACCTTCTATGGAAAACCAGTTGATGGAGGTGACAAAAGAGTCAAGAAATGCCAAGTTTGCACAGAGATCCACCCTATTTGGAAGTGTACAAAATATCGAGATCAGTCAATAGAAGACAAGTGGAAAATGGCAAAGAAGTTAGGTTTGTGCTACCGTTGCCTTGGTGACAATC